TACTTAGCTTAAAAAAGACAGACCAATGCAGCCACCACATCTGAGGAATGATAAGCTGCAATATATGAAATGTTTGTTCTTGGGTTTAGATACACTTTAAAGCCCGGCTCCATGTTTACCTTCCCCCACCTCCCCAGTCCTTCCCTCCACCCACCACCATACCTAATTAAAAACTTTTAAGCACATATTCATTCCTAGTGTCTTATGCAACTTCAGTAGTAGGAAGAAGAACATTCATAAAGACACGTGAGCACAATCCTATCCAGTCTACCAGGTGGGGGAAGGGGAGTTAAGGTCAGGACTCAGGCTTAAGCCCAAAAGATGGAGTTGGGCTTCAAAGGGTCTGTTCACTCTCAAATGATATTTCACTTTCTGGAGGATTCTGCAGAGTTAAGCCACCTACCAGTTTCCTCAGACTCTTAAGGTCTTTGGTGGTGGGATCTCTGAACCTGAATACTGGGATAATTATAAGGGGACCCTATATTCATTGTTGCATTTATAAATTAGAGGTGTGCAACAAGGGGAACCATAGCAAGTCAAGGTGGGTGGGAAAACGCCAAACTTTAAGGTGGGTGAGAACACAGTAAGGAATTACGGTAAGGGGTTTTTTTTTATGCTAGAGTCCCTAAGGTAAAAAGTCAAGTGGCTTAGCCCAGTGGTCTCCAAACTGTGGCCTGCTGGCCTTAAGCGGCCCTTTGCTTGCCTTTATCCATCCCTTGGGGCACTCACTATTCCTCCCACTGATATGGGGGACTGTTCCTCCCACTGACACAAAGAATGACGAGCCATTCCTTCTGCCTGTGCAACAGTGGCACATAATTTCTCCCAATGACAGCAAAGACGGGGCACTATTCCTTCCACTGCAATAAGAATGGGGCAACCTTCCATAGATATAAATGATGGAACACTACTCTTCTCACAGGCACCAATGATGGGACACTATTCCTCCCACTGACACCAATGATGGGGCACTTTTCCTCCCACTGATACCAATGATGGGACACAATTCCTCCCACTGATACCAATGATGGGGCACTATTCCTCCCACTGACACCAATGATGGGGCACTATTCCTCCCACTGATACCAATGATGGGGCACTATTCCTCCCACTGATACCAATGATGGGGCACTATTCCTCCCACTGATACCAATGATGGGGCACTATTCCTCCCACTGATACCAATGATGGGGTACTATTCCTTCCATTGATACCAATGATGTGGCACTATTCCTTCTACTGATACCAATGATGGGGCACTATTCCTCCCACTGACACCAATGATGGAGCACTATTCCTCCTACTGACACCAATGATGGGGCACTATTCCTCCCACTGACACCAATGATGGAGCACTATTCCTCCCACTGATACCAATGATGGGGCATATTCCTTCCACTGATACCAATGATGGGGCACTATTCCTTCCACTGATACCAATGATGGGGCACTATTCCTTCCACTGATACCAATGATGGGGCATTACTCCTTCCAGTGACAGTTTAAAAGGCTACAAAACAGTTTATATGAAAATAATTCAAAAATATATACAAAAGCAGAGCTAAGGGGACATAGACACTATAAATAGCTAACTGAAGTTCTAAGGATGCAGTCCTAATGACACTACTGTAGGTGTGTGGTCCCATTCGAGTCTATGTGGAGTTGCTGGGCTGCAAAGGATGGGAAATAAAGAGACACTCATTCAGGGCAAAGTGAGAGTGCCTTCATTCGGGTCCCCATCCCTGTGCACCAGGTATACTCACCTACCAGTTCTCCTTTGCCGCTCTTGCCTCCATCACATCCATTGACAATAGCGGTGGTTCTGGGAAAGAGGGGCACATGACTTCCTCCAATGTGACAGTGCTTGAGTCTAGCAACCAATTACGAATCCTGAACAATGCTACATGACCAAGGAGTAACATGAATGCTCCACTAAATTTCTGACACCTGCCAACACCTTGGATTTCAGTGCTGGCTGGTAAGGGAAGTAAAACTGGAGCAGGTAGGGAAGGTGATAGGTGACTATGTTCTGCATGGGCAAGGAGACATTGTTACTTTAAATCAAAGAATAAAAGTGAAACTAGTTTCAGAGGGTCACACAAGTCATAGTTTTCTGGCTAATAAAGATAAAACCAGCCACCTTGAGGCATGACTTCCACTGTATGATGTTGTTAGGTGTTGTGTTATAATTACTCTATTAGAATGCTTGCCAACATGGAAATCCGCCATGTATCAGGAAGCTGTCCAAGACAGCGTCCGAGGACTAGTAACACCTTACATTTAAAGTGGAACTACACTGCATCAGATCACCACAAACCAAAAATGCTAAATCATTTTTAATATTCAAAGCAAACTCCCCCCATCCATGTCTCCATGCTTCAGTTAGAACCCCCCCCCCCCAGCATTTCTGGCCTTGGCCATCTTGAGCAAGGGCAGATGATTTATGTAGCATTTACTTCCTGGAATCCATCAACCCTTAGCTCAGGCATGCAGGCAGGAGGGAGTGCTTAGCTGAGAAAGCCCCTCCTCCCCTCCTGAAGACTCCTGGGATGTATGACATCATTTGCCTAGGCCAGAAACCAGGAAGTAACTGAAGAAATATAAAACAAAAATTAAATCAAATAAATATATCTTCCTATTTATAATGTTAGCAGCCTAAGGATTGAAAATAGTCAATGTTGACTGAGAGTGAAGTTCCACTTTAAGTTAAATGGATTGATTGTAATAAAGACTACGCTATCAGTAATAAAATTTGGGAACATCCGTAGAGGTCCTGGTCCAGGACCAGTAACAGATAACATGTAAAATGTAGAATTTGTCCATATGCTTTTGAAGTGTTTTGTGGATGAAGGGATCAGTAGAAATTTGCTCCAATTTGTAGATCAGGTGCACATTTGATAGGTATTTAAAATGACAAAAAAAGGTCCATAAAACCAGGTGAACATTTGCTACAGACAGCACACTATACACAAGCAGGGAATGCATAGTGGAACATCTACCAGACAAATGGGAAAGCGACATGCCAACCGATATACAAGCACCCAGTGAGCTAAGTACAGCTGGCAATACACTAGTAGAATTTTTCATTTTAAGAACATGTGTTCTATTCTAGTTGTTAATGAGGTCACATGGATGCTTAGTTTCCGAACACAGTGACAAGAAAATTCAAAGGAGCAGGATTTTCACAAACAAATTACTAACAAGTGGTTTTCGTTCTGGAAAGTCCATTTACGCTAAAGCTGAATGTTAAAATCAAATTCAAATTTTAAGCACTTTAGAACAACATTCATTGAATGTACAGAGAATTTTTGTACGAATGTTCCTATAAATGTTTGTATGAGCTTGCAATCAAAACTCTAGTAGTATATTGCCAGGCATTAAAGTGTTTACTAAACCCCGGACCCTGCATTCACTATATTCAGTCTCCCCGGACCCTGCATTCACTCTATCCGGTCTCCCCGGACCCTGCATTCACTATATCCGGTCTCCCTGGACCCTGCACTCACTATATCCGGTCTCCCCGGACCCTGCATTCACTATATTCAGTCTGCCAGGACCCTGCATTCACTCTATCTGGTCTCCCCGGACCCTGCATTCACTATATCCGGTCTTCCTGGACCCTGCACTCATTATATCTGGTCTCCCCGGACCCTGCATTCACTATATCCAGTCTCCCTGGACCCTGCATTCACTATATCCGGTCTTCCTGGACCCTGCATTCACTATATCCGGTCTCCCCAGACCCTGCATTCACTATATCCAGTCTCCCCGGACCCTGCATTCACTATATCCGGTCTCCCTGGACCCTGCACTCACTATATCCGGTCTCCCCGGACCCTGCATTCACTATATTCAGTCTGCCAGGACCCTGCATTCACTCTATCTGGTCTCCCCGGACCCTGCATTCACTATATCCGGTCTTCCTGGACCCTGCACTCATTATATCTGATCTCCCCGGACCCTGCATTCACTATATCCAGTCTCCCTGGACCCTGCATTCACTATATCCGGTCTTCCTGGACCCTGCATTCACTATATCCGGTCTCCCCAGACCCTGCATTCACTATATCCAGTCTCCCCGGACCCTGCATTCACTATATCCAGTCTCCCCGGACCCTGCATTCACTATATCCAGTCTCCCCAGACCCTGCATTCGCTATATCCGGTCTCCCCGGACCCTGCATTCGCTATATTCTGTCTCCACGAAAAATGCATTCACTATGTCCGGTCTCCCTGGACCCTGCATTCACTATATCTGGTCTCCCTGGACCCTGCATTCACTATATCTGGTCTCCCTGGACCCTGCATTCACTCTATCCGGTCTCCCCGGACCCTGCATTCACTAAATCCGCTCTCCCCGGACCCTGCATTCACTATATCCGCTCTCCCCGGACCCTGCATTCACTATATCGGTCTCCCTGGACCCTGCATTCACTATATCTGGTCTCTCCGGACCCTGCATTCACTATATCCGCTCTCCCCGGACCCTGCATTCACTATATCCGGTCTCCCTGGACCCTGCATTCACTATATCTGGTCTCTCCGGACCCTGCATTCACTATATCCGCTCTCCCCGGACCCTGCATTCACTATATCCGGTCTCCCTGGACCCTGCATTCACTATATCTGGTCTCTCCGGACCCTGCACTCATTATATCTGGTCTCCCCGGACCCTGCATTCACTATATCCAGTCTCCCTGGACCCTGCATTCACTATATCCGGTCTTCCTGGACCCTGCATTCACTATATCCGGTCTCCCCAGACCCTGCATTCACTATATCCAGTCTCCCCGGACCCTGCATTCACTATATCCAGTCTCCCCGGACCCTGCATTCACTATATCCAGTCTCCCCAGACCCTGCATTCGCTATATCCGGTCTCCCCGGACCCTGCATTCGCTATATTCTGTCTCCACGAAAAATGCATTCACTATGTCCGGTCTCCCTGGACCCTGCATTCACTATATCTGGTCTCCCTGGACCCTGCATTCACTATATCTGGTCTCCCCGGACCCTGCATTCACTATATCCGCTCTCCCCGGACCCTGCATTCACTATATCCGCTCTCCCCGGACCCTGCATTCACTATATCCGCTCTCCCCGGACCCTGCATTCACTATATCGGTCTCCCTGGACCCTGCATTCACTATATCTGGTCTCTCCGGACCCTGCATTCACTATATCCGCTCTCCCCGGACCCTGCATTCACTATATCCGGTCTCCCTGGACCCTGCATTCACTATATCTGGTCTCTCCGGACCCTGCATTCACTATATCCGGTCTCCCTGGACCCTGCATTCACTATATCCGGTCTCCCTGGACCCTGCATTCACTATATCCAGCCTCCCCATAAAATGCATTCACTATAACCGGTCTCCCACACTACACACAACATGGAAATAAAATTATTTTATGAAAAAAATAAACTGCTAAATACCTTTTTTTCATCAGCAGTATATAGCAGTCTTGTGACTTCTATCAGTTTCCAGCAAAGCACTGGTTAAAGCTTGTAGGAGGAGCTTATATTCTCCTCTGACTGTCCTATGAGGCTGCAAAACCCCTGACCCTCTGTCTGGACAGCGATAATTGACCCTGTGCTGATCACATGCACTCTCCCAAGGAAAAAAAAAATTTCTATCAATATACACCAAACTGAGCATGTGCAGCTTGCACCCAAGGTTCTGTTCTATCAGCAGATGGTTTGGGGACAGTAGAAGAAGAGGAGGATCACAGAAGACAGGATAAAACAGCATTTTTACACAATGCAGAGGATTAACCCCTTAGGTCCCACAGTGAGTATAACAAGCATGCTTTACTGCATATACAGACTGATTGTACTGTTGTGGGTTTAGTAACACTTGAAGTTTAAAGAGAACCAGTCACCCACCTCTCCACCTCATCCAATCAGAGAGTGTGAGAAAAAGTAATGCAATCTCTGAATGGCGCTCATGTCGGGTGGCTGACCTCCTGTGTTCAGAATGAAGCAGGGTGGCAGCCCAGCACAGGATCCAGAGGTTAGTGGAGATTACTGGAGTAGGGGTGCCTAGTACAGTGATTTCCAGCATGCATGGGGATCCCTCACGTATGGTATATACATAGTGACATTGGTCCAAGCTTGACCAATGTAACCATCTTCAAATAAAATTGATCTTCAAGAACGTAAAACTACATAAGAGGGAAAAATACATCTCAATTTTAAACGTAAGTCAATCGACTTATAAAAATGTAGCTGAAATTCTTGTATAGGTCCGATCAAGTCTGGTTTTCTGGTATTCTGCAAGCACACCCCCTCACCCCCCTTCCCCATGGAAGCAGTGACATCATCACAATCTTCTCTCACAGGGATCATGCACTGTTGTGTGTTACATGAAACACGACACACGTGTATGAAGCACACCCACAATACATACATGAAGGCTGGACCGGGAGGTCGATATGTTAATAATGGCTGAGACGCCATCTGCAAGCTACAAGTCAAAACGATTGGTTAGCTACACATAGAATACACAGAATCAGGAAACACTTTTCATTAGAAACACAATATTAGGGCACCATAAGCACAAAACAACCACAAAGAGAAAAAAATCTGAATTACATATTTTACAAAAAATACTTATTTTGCCTAGTACAGCAGGGCTGGAGTGTGAGAGGAAGAATCAGTACAAGGAGCCAATCAGTTCATGTGCTGACAGGAGCATGCTAATAGGAGGAGAGATGAGAGTGTCAGAGAGATGAACTCCTCACTGGGCTGCCTCTCCTTTCACTGTCCAATCACAGGATGTGTTGGGACCAGGATGACCCGGGCTCAGAGGAAGTGGGTTGAATGATGCTTTGTATCAGCCTGAGGACAATTAATGGCAGAAAAAAAGTCTTGTGGGGAAATGACCCAAAATAGAAAATGCTAAATGTTATAGTTGTCCCCAGAATAGGAATAGAGGGCAAATCTTCCAATAGGAACTGTGTCAAATATCTTATACTGGTCAATGGTCATACATGGTGCAATAAAACTGAATAATCAATGTCTGTGAGATAAAAATGGCACGCCAGACCGATGAGCGACAGGTAGTGACAGTTTTGATCTACCCAAGTCGATTGGTTGTGATGGAAAAAAATCAATCGTGCAGCGTCGATCAATGGCATTTTTTGCCTGTACATCAATTGTAAACGATTCACAAGGGTGTGAAAAATGCGATTGATTGACCCCGTATGATCAATATTTTTCCACCACAACTAATCGAAGCCATCACTATCTGTCGCTCATCATTTGGGCATACATTTTTGGTCTTGCTTGATCCATGAACGATTTGATCGTTTTGTCAAATTGGACATCGACCATTCAGTTTTATTATTATTATACAGTATTTATATAGCGCCAAAGGGTATGCTCAGCGCTGTACAGTAGCAAGGGGGACAGAACATGAGACAAGACAGTAACAATACAATACACGAGGGGTTCGAGGGCCCTGCTCTTTCGAGCTTACAATCTAGGAGGGAGGGGAAGGTGGTACAGGAGGAGATGGCTGTGGGGGATGGAGTGGTGGGTGGAGTGGAGAAGGTTAGTTGTTAGGTGAGGTCGGGTGTTAGGTGAGGTTGGGGTAGGCTTCCCTGAAGAGGAGGGTTTTCAGGGTGCGCCTGAAGGTGAGGAGGGTAGGTGACAGTTTGATGGATTGGGGTAGGGAGTTCCAGAGGATGGGGGAAGTCCTGCAATCGGGCGTGGGAGGAGGAGACCAGGGAGCTAGAGAGTAGGAGGTCCTGTGAGGAGCGGAGGGGACGGGGAGGGTAGTATTTGGGTATCAGGTCAGTTATGTAGTTAGTGACAAAAATGATATCTGTAAAATTCCCACCATGCCTCTTATCAAATTCCTTGGGGTGTCTATTTTCCAAAAAGGGGTAATTTGGGGGGTGTTTGTACTATCCTGGCATTTTAGAGCCTCCAAAACTGTGATACGTAGTGGGGAAGTGATATGAGGAAATATGCCCTTTGAAAGCCTGGAGGTGGTCATTGGATTTTGGAAGCTTGTATGTAGCTAGGCTGCCAAAAAGTCTCTCACATGTGGTATCCCAGTTCTTGGGAGAAGTAGGAGAATGTGTTTTGGGGTGTTATTCCACATATACCCGTGGCATGCATGAGCAATATATCATTAAAGTGACAACTTTGTGTAAAAAAAAAAGAATTATAATTTTCTAAAAATTTGTGGCAAAAAATAAAATGGTTCATGGACTCAACATGCTTCTCTGCAAAATCCTTGGGGTGTCTACTTTCCCAAAAGGGGTCATTTGGGGGGGGGGGGTTGTACTGCCCTGGCATTTTAGCACCTCAAAAAGTGTGATAGGCAGTCAGAAAGTAAGTAAATTCCAATATATATACCATAGTTTGTAGATGCTATAACTTTCACACAAACCAATTAATATACACGCATTGAGATTTTTTTTTTTTTTTAACCAGACATGTAGCAGAATACATTTTGGCCTAAATTTATGACTAACTTTGAGTTTATTGGATATTTTTTATAACCAAAAGTGAAAAAAAAAAAAAAAAAAAAATTTTTTTTTTCAAAATTTTTGGTCTTTTTTTGTTTTACAGCGCAAAAAAGTAAAAAACTACAGAGGTGATCAAATACCACCAAAAGAAAGCTCTATTTATGTGGAAAAAAAGGACAGAAATTTTGTTTGGGGAGTTGAATAAGTGCAATGCTGAACAACAAAAAATGGCCTGGTCTGAAGGGGGTAAATCTTCTGGAGGGCAAGTGATTAATGTTGCTGAGCCTGCAGCTGCCGCTCGGCTGCGTTACTACTGAAACCGAACGGCAAGTGGTTAAAGGGTATTTAAAACCCAAGAACTACAGGTTTCCTATAGGGGTTGTTTAAGATCTCTAAAGCACCTCACTTTAGAGTTAACAGTTAATAATGTCCCTAAAACTAATTTTTTTTCACTCCAGCGTGCGCAGTGATCCCTAATTTGTGTTGCACATTTGTGGTTTATATACCAATGCTTGCCATATGCTCATTCTGTGATTGTACATGCGCCTGTCTCATAGAAGTGATTGAGTGGCTTTACAGCCACCGCAACCGTTTTTATTACAGAGCCCAAAGTCAGCTTTACAATAGCTGCAGTATGTTTACTTTCTGATATTGCCGCAGCATATGTAAAAGGGTTAAAAAGAACACATTTTCATTGGAATCTATTAATTAAAAAAAGGGAAACTGGTTTGTGTTCTTACCTGACTCGAAATTAGAGGTTCCTTGTCGTCAATATCGACAAGAACGTCATCCCGCGGGGTAACACTTATATCATCTGAAAGGAAATATTATATATAGCGGTTTTAGTTACCTTCAAATATTTTTTTTTTTCACTAAGTACACTTTATAAGATATTACTGCAATATTTATCAGAAAAGCAATTTTTGATCATTTTTTTCCTGTATGATTTTTCTAGGTCAGCGATTCTACAACTCAGTGTAACGTCTAATCTTTAACCCAAGGTATCCTGAAAAAAAAATCTATACACATCCACTACCTAATGGCCCTGTAATCTACTTTTCATTAAAATATTTTCTCCTTGTAAGGTTTTGAAACCTTTCCCTTTCCCCCCTCACTTCTGTTTGTTTTGGAATGAGCAGTGCACCTTCATTGTGGCCATGTATACAGCTCATCCTACAGTCAATAGTCTTTTTATTTTGGGAGAAAGCAAGTAGTTCTTACATGAATTGGTACTATGGAGAACAAATAGAAAAAACCTCCTGGGCTATAATGGATGTCCTACTAGTAGCAGCTCACACTTGCCTTAACCACAAGGTAGATGAAACAACAAAACATACAAAATAGTGAAGTGCTGATGTTAATAAAGGACTTGCATAACACAACACTATTCAGTGATAGATAGGAACATATTGAAACAAATATCATCAGAGAGGGGAAATGACATATATTGTGCAAGTGCTCATAAGAGAGTTCATGCTGTGTGAAAGTCCATACTAAATCAATTCCAAGAACAGTGTTCACTACATAACACACAGCAAGCCACGTGGGGTGATCACAGTGCCATATGGTGTGTGGATCAATCCATAAATGGCCAAAATGACTCCTCACCTCCTTATTTAGACCCCATGGGGCCAAAATACTGTGTGGGTAACCCCCGTATATTCCAGATGACTCTCCTCAGGATAAGAACACTTAGGAATCCGACCTCAACACTTCTTCCTGAACCTTCTCCAGACTCAAGGATTTTGGGACAAGGGTGACCGTGCAGGATATTAATAAAAACAAAAATATACCATAGTGTAGACCTGCCTTTTTTAATGCAAAATAGCAAAGCCAATAGCCCACTCACATTTATAAAACATATAAAAACGCCTTTTTTTCCATATCATGGGTATACTCATGGTTAGATGCCGATCAGCAGCTCCACGATAGCTCCACTATGGCTCCAAAAT